GGATGTGTAGGATCTACAGTTTGATAGATATACGAAGATAATTTGAGGTCTCGCCAGGAGAACGTGTACTGTATATGGAGCAGCTTCCATGTAAAGTTAGCATGGGTGAAAACAGTATTTCCGGTCTCGAAGTTTTCATAATAAAACCGGAAGTATTCCCCACACTGTCAAATGATCTCCATTACTCATCCACTTAAAAACATCAGTTTATCCTTGTTAATTACACAATATTGATTGGTTTAAATTGTGTACAATGCTTTTGTGTTTTTAACCTTCGATTTGGAGAAACAAATAGTTTTTTCGGAGTTTAGACACTACAGAGTTTCCGAAGACACTACACTACCCAGAATCCCCAGCTATCGTTTGGGACTACAACATCCGCCTTGCTTTACAAACCCCGTGATTAGCCCTCAAGCTCTGTGATTGGATGTTGGAGTGGCAGCGCGACAAGGTTTCGCCGAATGTCAAACAGCTCTTTGAAATGGAATGGAACCACGCCAGACTATCCAAAACTGGACTTGGACGGGTCCAGCCCAGCCCTCCCCCACAGAATTACACATGCTGGCTATTGTGTGTTTCGCAATATGTTCTATGGCACGTCTCTACTGGGAATTGTAGTTTTATAAGACGTTTTCGTATTTCCCACAATTAGAAGTTGCCAGTATTAAACTGTATACATCCCTGGAGGTTTAGGGGATACGAAACACATTGGTGTTATCAAATTTAAAACATATAATTAATACATGGGAGAAAATTGCTTGTGCCCATAATGGGCAGCATTAATATACCCACATGACAGCTAAGGTCAGAAGAGCTTTATTTAACAGCTGGTCTTATGTCTGTGACCCCTCCTGTTGTTAATTGATAAGCCTGAAACATGCACTTGTCAAGGTTCAGATGCACATTTAGCAAATATGGCAGTAGCCATCGATCATCTTAAGATAAGATACTTTATTGATCCCAATTTGGGAAATGTTTTTGTTACAGCAGCATGTACTACTTTGTTCTACTCCACTACAATTCAGAGGTCAACCTGGTATTTTTACTCTACTACATTTATTTTTGTTACTTTTCAGATTCTGATTAATGATGTGAAATATAAACAACCCTTAAATCAGACTTTCGTTACACCTGAGTAAAATTCAGCCTTATCAGTTTGTCTGTTTTGCACATCCACCTGTTCGCGTCGAAAGGAGCCAGTTGAGGTGGTTCGGGCACCTAGTTAGGATGCCACCTGGGCGCCTCCCTAGGGAGGTGTTCCAGGCACGTCCAGCTGGGAAGAGACCAAGGGGTAGACCTAGGACCAGGTGGAGGGATTATATATCTTCGCTGGCCTGGGAGCGCCTTGGGATCCCCCAGTCAGAGCTGGTTGATGTCGCCAGGGAAAAGAAAGTTTGGGGCTCTCTGCTGGAACTGCTACCCCCGCGACCCGACCACGGATAAGCGGGAGAAGATGGATGGATGGATGGATGGATCTTGAGTACCGTCCCATGACTCTTATTTCTGCCGGAGGACCGAGGATCGAGGAGCGAGGAGCGATAATAGAGGAGCGATAATCGAGGAACCACCAGACCATCCTCCGATGAAATCCTCAGATACCCACCCCGCCCCCTTACTGTGTATCGCTCACTGATTGGACGAGGCAGTGCATGCACTGATCTGATGCTTCTTGACATGAGAGCAGAGTGAAGAAAATACATGAACCTCACGGGAGTCACTCCTCAGTTTATACCGTGTTTTGTTTCAATTCATGTTTCATTTAGTTACAAATATGTGATATATCTGAACAACAAAGTGGTCAAAAATCATTTTATTCATTTGTTGGAAACATTTTCATGATCGCTTTTTTCGTTTTACATTTTCATTTATTGTCATTTCCATTCAGTCAGTCATTAAGTGCTATTGAAATGTTAATGTGCTACATATCCAAACAAACAAACAAAGTGTGCAATCCAATGAATGTTAATCTAACTGGGTTTTGATAGATAACATATCTCTTTTTCTTCTCTCAATTATTTTATTTATTTTGTGCACTCTAATCAATATTGATCAAACTATTGTTCGTTTATACATTTTAAGAATGGCGTTTATCTTTTTTGAGAATGAGTTCTTATTTTATTTTATTTATTGGGATCTACAACAGATGATACAAATGTTTGCGTCAGTAAATGTGCACTAACAGAGGCGGGGGTGTTTGTGGAAATAACGGGGACAGAGCTGGCTGCTGTCAGACGATCAGCTGTGCAGCGTCATCACAAACGGACGTCGCTTCACGTGACGCTCCGGAGGAAAGGACGTCCCATTGCGCTTAAAACTCATTTCCCTGCTTCTCGTGGTTTCCTTGCGTCCCTCCATGCTTCCCTGGTGAGAGGGACTAAACGCAGGGAAACGACGCAAGTGAGGGAAGCAAGGATTTCATTTAATCGACCTGAGAAGCAGCCTGAGTTGGAGGACTTGTTGAAATGTGACCCGCTCTATCGAAATCAGTCGGAGTCGCAACGGCTCATTTCAGAATAAACGTGGATTTACGTAAACAACTATTTTTTCAGGGTTCGGGTGTTTTATTTGATTTTAAACAAACAAAGTCTTGGCTTTCAGAATATGAAACTTTTATTTCCAAAATCACACGATAAATACATTTTTGAAGCTTGTAAAGGGATGAAGACAGGCACCTCTCACTCGCAATCTGCTCTTCCAGCAGCGCCGCCCCCCTCCCTCCGCTGAAATTATGAATGTAAGAGTATAGTAATCATAGATACAGTGAGTGCGCAGCTGCAGCAGTTTATTGATGGCTTCCCACTTCTGTTTTTTCTGCCAGATGGCTCTTCAAATGTCAAACCCTCTTTTTTCTATGAAAAGCCTGATCATGTCACATAAGGTTTTTCAATACATTGATCTTCTTCACACTGAACTACAGATTACTTTTGAGTTCAACCAACCTAATACTCTTTATAAATATCTCCAATAAAGAGAAGTAACAGCTCTTTCCTCTTTTTCTGGCTTGACAGAAAATGGAAGAGGCTGCAGCCACAGCAGCAGAAGAAGAGCACAGGACTCAGAGGAAGCAGACGCAGTTAGACCTGCAGGATCGTTACAGACTGGACCTGAAGAGAGGGAACATGGTAACCACGGTGTCTGAATCTGACTCCACAAACATGGTCTTAAAACTAAACAGAGAAAAGTCTGGTAAACTAAGACTGTCTAGTCACCCGTCTGTGGTTCTGTTCTTTAAGGAAACACTCAAGAGACTTAACAGACAAATGCCTTTTTATAATAAAAAACACAATTGTTGGCTTGGATTGCATCATAGGAGAAACAATTGGTGAGTGTAAAAAAAAATAAAATACAGCCCAGTAGAGCATCACATTTGAAGATGACACTATTGATTTTATTGATATGAGCTGTATCCGTTGGCGGAAAAGGACGTTTTTTAAGCTCTCAAACAATGAGATTCCTTGATTGTCTCTATTTTGTAACAAATAATGTGACAAAACAAGCAGTTTAAATACATCACATTGGAATCTGAGAAACTGTGTGTGAATGTGTGTGTTGCCTCTTAGGTGAGTCAGCAGATGGAGGAGCAGGTGGCTCAGAAGTCCAGTGAGCTGGAGCAGTACCTGCTGCGCGTCCGCGAGCTGGAGGACATGTACTGCCGCCTGGAGGAGGCCTTAGAGCAGGGGTGCCCAACCAGTCGATCGCGATCGACCGGTCGATCGCGGGGAGATTCCCAGTCGATCGCGAGATGTGTCTAAAAATAGAACAACAATATTCTGTTTTATCGTTAATGTCCTGCAACATAATCTTCCTATGCCAGAATAATGCACTTGAACGCATCAAAGCTTTGTGATTGGCCGGCGTGACCCCATGTGTCGGGACGTGGCTGGTGAGCAGTGGGCAGTGCACTAGTTCGCTAACGTTGTCCGTGTCAACAGGAGTGACAGTCCGCACACACACAAGACCGCAATTATGGCAGAAGCAAAACATATATAATTTTAACTCCGAACGGGAGGATGATTATTTTTGTATCTATTCCAATTCAAAGTGCATCTGTCTCATCTGCAATACGAGCGTGGCTTTATCGAAGAAGGGTCATTTAGGACCGGCATTTCAAAACAGTGCACAAATGCTACGAGACGGAATTCCCTCCTGATTCTGCCCTACGCTCCAAAAGGTGAGGGGCCTGAAAGGACAGCTAAATGCACAGCAGTCCATTTTCACCAGGCACAACAACAAGAGCAAGGCTGCTACCATAGCATCTTATCGTGTCAGTCACGTTCTTGCGAAACACATGAAGTCTTTCAAAGACGGCGAAGTTGTGAAAGAAGCATTCCTGGAGGCTGCCGATGCGTAATAAAAATAACAGAAGCATTTCAACAGGTTTTTGATATGATAAAAACTCAAGTTAGATATCGTTATTAATCAGCTGTAAGTTTGAGTTTGTTTGAACTTATTCATTATAATTATTGTACAAAATGGTATAAGAATGCAAACTTAAATTGATTATAGTCTATTATCAATTCAGGTTAAGAAACTAGTGTTGCTTGCATCCTATTTTAAAGGCATTTATTTTTATAATCTACTAAAATGCAACAAAAAAGGGTTTGATTCTATTAATGTTGTCTTTTGTATTGCACTGTTGCAGCAGATTCCTGTGTAGCTTCAGATCTGAGTTGTCTTATTAGTAAGCCTCATTTATACTTTTGTAGCAACACAATTTTTATATAATGGCAAAGAAAGGGTTCAGAGTCTTTTCTTTTTTTCCTGTGTCATATGTGGCAGCACTGTTCAATGTTTCTTGAATACATTACCCACTTATAACAACACTGTTGTGTAACTTCAGTTCAATACTTGTATGTGTGTAGATTAGAAAGAGGTAAGATAAAGGATCTGCAGTGTTTTATGAAGTATTCATCGTACAAAGGTCAGTTTTATACAAGTAGAAGTGTGTATTTACCTGGTTGTAGGCTGTCAGTAATGGCTACGCCTCTCTATTTGGACTGGTAGATCTCGGCAGACTGGAAACTTTAAAAGTAGCTCTCGGTTCAAAAAAGGTTGGGCACCCCTGCCTTAGAGGACGAGAAGCAGGCCAAGCAGGACGAGGAGGCCATGCACAAGCTGCAGGCCAGGTGAAGGATACTTGCATTGTTCCTCCTGCCTGTGAGAAATGCTCAGTGAGCAGCACATGCTACTATTGTCCTGCTAAAGTGAACACAAGCAGAACTGATTTGAAGTGAATGTGATTGTCTGTTCTCTGCCTGTAAGGAACTTTCAAACTGTTTTGGATTTTTTTCTATTGTTCCTTTTATGGCTCAAGCTCCCCATTTCCCTTTTTTAAAGAATGGGGCTGAATTTGTTTATAACTATGCTATTCAACCCTAATGAAATGTAAGCATCATTGCTGTGTTCACCCCCACAGTCTGCTGGAGGAGGAGGCAGCGAAGCGGGCCGAGCTGGAGCGTTTCCACCGGCAGCAGCAGAGGGCGCTGTCGCAGACGGAGGCGGAGAAGCAGGAGCTGGTGGCCGAGCAGCGGCTCAAAGAGAGAGAGCTGCAGGCGGCCATGCTGCAGCTGGAGAAGCTGGAGAGGGAGCGGCTCGGGGCGCTGGAGCAGTACCAGGTCAGCTCCCACAGGTGGAGGGTAGTAACTGACCCTCGGCATCAAACATAGATATATTCCTTATTAATAATTCCATTAAGCAGAATGCAATATTCTTTCTCGCCAACAAGTATGTTTGTATTTTACTTCAGATTTGTTTTATTTATTTGATTGAGGCTTGAAGATTCTTATAAATGTTGTTCAGTTTATGGAACAATAAAATAAGCTTGAGCTAACAGAACCACAGTCAGTCTGTTATGAGGATTACAAGTATAAGAATTAAGGTTTTTATTAAGGTATTATTTGAAGATTATTGATACACATTTTACAAGATGATCTGCCTTTATTAAATCAGGATCATAGAAATACATATGAGCAAACAACATGTGGGAAATGATGTGAAATATGACACCAGAATGGATTATTTCAACTTTTTTTAATTAACATGTCATGTTCTAATTTATTTGATCTAACTTCCTCCTTATGTAATACAGGAGGTGTCGATGAAGCTTGAACGAGCAACTAACAAGACAAAGACTTGGAAGGACAAGGTGGCCAAACATGAGGGTCTGGTGCGTCTCATCCAGCCAGGTATGAACATCAGTTGTAAAATAAATCAGCATAAGACAGGTGTATTTCACCGACATTTAGCTCTGTGCATCAAGTTCATGGAAACGGGGCTTTCTGTGCTCCTCCCAGGGTCCTATGAAAGATAATAGGTGCCCACTGCTCCTAATACTATGATGGGTTAAAGCCAGAGTCTGCATTTCACTGTGTGTGCTGTGCTTTGTTCATGTGTGACAATAATAGCAGGCAGTAGCTCAGTCTGTGGAGCTGCCCTTAATTAAGGATTTTTGAATATCAGGAAAATATGCTAAAATATTCAGTTTTTTGTAATGTCTTTCATAATAAATATTAGTTTGTACTGCATGTAGGCTTATCTTTGATATTCAACCTGCTATGAGTTCAAAGAAACTAAATACTTGATTAAAATACAGCAGTCCCTTGTGCCTACAGATTAAAAATAGTTTGATAAGAAAGGTTTGCAAAGTTTCAACAACCAACACAACGAAAAGCATCATGAGGAATCTTTCTGCAAGTTCATCTTTTTAAAACACCTCCCCTCCTTGTTTGCGATCTGATTTCTTAGGTCATAAAGGTCCTCAGAGGATCACTAACTGGGGTCCGGCTTCATTCACTGACGTTGAGCTGGAGCTGAGGAAGAAGTCGTGGCAGGAGAGGAAGAACCAGGGCGCTCCGGCTCAGTGAACACACCTCACTGAGGAGGACAGTCTAGGTCTGATAATGTTTAATAACATACACTTACTGAGCCATCTGCAGCGTTAAACGTTTTACTGATATGATTTGGCCTACTTTCTTCTGTAACAAAAAATCTCATCAAGCAATTGTAGGAAGCAGTTCTCTAAAATAATCTGATCATGAGATGCAATTGAAATAGCAGAAAAATACAACTAATAAGTGAATATTTAGTTATTATTTTATGAAGAAATACATCCAGTTTCTTAGTTTGTGCTTTCTGACTTCCTGTGTTTTAATTCATTTTACTGACATGTAATAGAGTACAGCAGTAGATTAATATGTGTATTGCTTTGTCACATTTAAACTTGTATGAAAAACATATAATAAAACACCACTTTTTTTTTCAAAAGTGTATGACTAATTCCATTCAGAGGTCCCAGTATTTCATAGTTTGAGAAGCTGTTAAGACTCTTAAATGTGTCAAAATGCAGCAAGTTCTTTCTGTTTTGGAGGTATCGAGCCTGCTTTCATTCATCATGACTCGTCTACATTTCGATCATGACAAAGAGTGTCCACTAGATGTCACCATATGAACGGTATCATCAGTAAGACAAACCCCAAAATACTGACATTCAGTCTTCTGTTGTTTAAGTGCCTGAATAAGTGTAAGGTGGATACTTATAAGATGTGTTTAAAGAGCCATAGTGTGTCTTCTTCACCAGTGAGTGATGAAGGTGGCTTCTGTCATGTTGTCCAGATGTTATAAGGTGGATGTGTTTTTCCCTCGTCTGGTCGGTGTTATTCTGAACAAGTTCATCTCCAAACACCTTGCCTACCATGTTTATTCCTACTCAGGACGTACATTTTGAAGAAAACCCGCCAAAAAACCCACATTGTTTCACTTTTTGCAAAGCAGCTGGACTTTGTTTGAGTTTTTCTATTCTTTTTCATATTGGGTTTTTGCAGGATTATACAACATTTGTATCTAATACAATTAAAGCTTTTATTGTGTGCCATCAAGGAACAAAGGCAAGGCAAGACAAGTTTATTTATATAGCACCTTTCAATACAAGGCAATTCAAAGTGCTTTACAAAAAATAAAAGACATTAAGAAAATGGCATTTAAAATCATTAAAAAGAAAAGATAATAAAATAAACATTAAAAGAAAAATACATGGATAAAAGTTACAGTGCAGTTTAAGATGTGAATAGTTCAATTAAAAGCAGCTGCAAAAATAAAAGTCTTCAGCCTGGATTTAAAAGTAGTCAGAGTTGCAGCGGACCTGCAGCTTTCTGGGAGTTTGTTCCAGATATTTGGAGCATAATAACTGAACGCTGCTTTTCCATGTTTAGTTCTGACTCTGGGGACAGAAAGCTGACCAGTCCCTGAAGACCTGAGAGATCTGGATGGTTCATCATTTAGCAGGAGGTCAGAAATGTATTTTGGGCCTAAACCATTCAGTGCTTTATAAACCAGCAGCAGTATTTTGAAATCTATTCTTTGACACACAGGAAGCCAGTGTAAAGACTTCAGAACAGGAGTGTTGTGATACACTTTATTAGTGTTGGTAAGGACTCGAGCAGCAGCGTTCTGAATTAGCTGCAGCTTTCTAATAGATTTTTTTAGTGAGACTTGTAAAGACATCATTACAGTAGTCCAGTCTACTGAAGATAAAAGCATGCACACGTTTTTCCAAATCCTGCTGTGACATTAGTCTTTTAATCCTAGATATATTCTTTAGGTTCTTTAGATTCTTTAGGTCTGTTGTTTAGTAGGCAGACTTAGTAACTGTTTTAAAGTGACTGTTGAAACTCAGGTCAGAGTCCATGACTACACCTAGATTTCTGGCTTTATCTGTTGTTTTGAACATTGCAGACTGAAGCTCAGCGCTAACTTTTATACGTTCTGCCTTGGCTCCAAAAACCATTACCTCAGTTTTATCTTTGTTTAATTGGAGAAAGTTCTGACACATGCAGTCATTGATTTGTTCAATGCACTTACTCAGTGTTTGAATTGGAGCATAGTCTCCTGGTGAAATGGTTACGTACATTTGTGTGTCATCTGCATAACTATGGTAACTTATTTTGTTGTTTTTCATTATCTGAGCCAGTGGTAGCATGTAGATGTTAAAGAGAAGAGGCCCCAAGATGGAGCCTTGAGGTACCCCACATGTCATATTTGTCAACTCAGATGTGTATTTACCTATAGAAACAAAGTTGTTTCTGTCCTTTAAGTAGGATTCAAACCAATTTCTTCTTATTATAACAAAGACATGTGTTTTTATAAGGAAGTGGGCACCGACCCCACTAGACCCGGAGCAATAACACACAAATACCAGCAAGGATAAAAGCAAATCAAAACACATAATAACAAGAGCATTCAACAGCACATTAACACGTCATAGAAATCATTCATTTATTTAAAAGAAAGACTCCCATTGCCAACTTTACAACAAACATGTATTTGTTTAGAATATCTGAAATAGTATAATTCTGAATACAATTGAGAAAAGGGGGTGCGGAGACTTTTTACCTTCTTTGAAGAGAGTGTCTTATTTTCTTGAATTAAAGAAAGTATTGGTCTTCTTCTCAGCAGTTTTGTTGGGGACTATTTTCAGCCAATTATTCAAATCTGTGGCACCAAGGACTTCCTGTACAGAGACACTTGTTTGTAAAGTCAACTCATTGTTGGTTTGGGCTTTTTCTTGGGATTTGCTAACAATAAGACACATTTTTAATATTGCAAGCCTTATCTTATAAGTCAGGAAAGTTGAAAGTTCATTTTATTTTTATTTTTCAAAAGGCATTTCCGTTGTTATCTGATTTGCCTGATGGGTATCAGCCAGGATATGGTTGATCCACATACACATTTTCTTTGTCATTATAAAACTCAGTATTTCCCGTATATGTTACATTTGTTCATTCACAGTTTTTGGTACCACAGCAACAGCTTGCCTTTCCAAATATTGTCACACAGTAAGGTAAATCGAGTATTTTACTTTGGCGAGGGACTGGTATCAGATGTTTATTCTCGGTATTTGCAAATTGAGTCACGGTATCAGAAACTTCAGGTGGACAAAGCCAAATGTGTGCTTCCCTAGTAACCAGCCTGTTTGTGTTACAGGTCTGTACAGCTTAATATTACTTCATTGTTCCAGTTATCATGTAAACAGATAAATCACACCTGATGCACGCGACTTGCAGCAGCAAAGGCTCCGTTCTTCTGCGTCTGTGTCAAAACAAATCATTTTGTGCAACAAAGGATCTCTGTTCTGCAGGTACACCTCACCTTTGTTTTTCAACCCTCATGTTTCGGTAATGAAAGAAACTAAGTTACAGAATCTATCCGTGGGTAGCCTACTTGTGTGTCTCGTGTCTACCAGCCCACACAAAGATCATCTTTACTTTCTGTTGTAAAAACTCTCAATCTTAATTTGTTGGAGGGAAAGAGTCAGTTCATGTTGAGTTCAGAGTTGTCAGAGCGGGAGAAGAGATAAGAGCCTGCATTCATTCGCTGATCTGACAGTCAGCAGCATGCAGATCTCTCTCTACCGGTGGGTCACTGATAAGATCAGACAGAGACACGGATTGCAGGAATCTCTGAGCTAATACTATTAAAGTGGGTTTTTTGTACTGCCATTAAAGACGTTTTGCACATAGCTTCTCCTTTTAAGGACATTTTGTTAGTAACAGTTCACATAAGGAAACACAAAGATTAAAACATGTTAAATGAAGAGCTAATGATTGATAGGTTTCAGGATTTTCCATGCATTATTTGTCTTGAGTTGTTAATCTGGTGTATGATAAATGGATTAGCTGCTCACATTTCTTCTAAGAGATATTTATATCTCAGACTCTCAAAAAGTATGTTGGCGTTTTTTCCCCTCCCATTCTCAGAATTGAGTTTCTAATCTGCATTGCTAAATTGCACAAGCCCCCCGCCCAGACATTCCAAAAATAAGGATATCCCCCGCTGTCTCACCCTCGCCACATGTGTCCCAAAAGCACCCTAATGCCCCTGACCAATTCATCTGAAACTGATTTTAAACAGGAACATTTTTTGGGGGGGATTGTCTGCTGGTGAAGAAATGCCTGGCAGATGCCTCTTTTCAGGGTTAGATGACTTCCCACAGTGACTTCACAGCCTCAAGCTTTCACACAGCTGAATGGACTCTGAGTTTCGCTGCACAGAAAAACCGTGGATCACTTACCCTGGCAAGAGAACAACATCAGGGCTTCAGACAAACACCTCAAAGTGGGTCAAGGAAACATCAACTTTAGTAAACCCCACCCTTAAAGTTATAAATCAAATGTGTAATTGTCCTTTTCTGCTCATGGATGAGCGGGCGGTGTCCGGATAAGATCATCTGGAGCTCAGTTGAATCGTGTGTTTGATCATCTCCCAATCTGACCCCCATGTGCTGCAGGCAGCTGAGATCATCCTGGTTGCTAGGGTGGGACTCGTGATGAGTGACTAGATGGTGAGATCAACATTTGGAGCAGGTGCCCTCGGCAAGGGCCACAACCCATAATACATTTTACCATAGTATGTACCATGGTATACCATGGTACTACCATGGTACCTCAGATGTTACCATAGTGTACCATAGTACGTACCATGGTACCTCCGATACTATAGTACATGCCGCGGTACCTCAGATAACTGGTACTCCATAGAGTGTTCAAATGGTACTACAGACATTACCATGGTATGTATCATGATAATCACTCAAGACCCATTGTATGAATTTTTTTTAGTTTAGTATTTTTTATTGCTGGTTTGAGTTGGTTTCCCTTTAGGTAACATATATCTTTAAGGCTGCGAGGCCCCTGAGCAGTCAGTTATCAGCCCCTTCATTGCCCACATTGCAGAGGCACCCAGGAAATAGAAACTGCGACATAGTCCACATTCATAGCAACCATAGGGCTTCATGGAAATCAGGATTTCGAGGGCCGATAAAACAAATCAGTATCATCTGTCACCAGAGTATTTTTGGGCTCATTTGAAAGGCTAATAAGCATTCTTCTCAGAAAAATGCACTGCAGCTGTGCCTGTTCACGAAGCATACGGGACCCAAAATCCAACAATATGCCATTTTGAATTTAGACTGCTTTTGATTTGTCTTTTAATGTGAGAGCAGCACGGTTCTCTAACCACACTGAACTCAGGAAACAACATCTAGCATAGTTACACAAGATCCCAAAGACACAGCACTGCATTTTAGAATACTGCTGCTCTCAGGGAAAATAGATGCTTTCATCAGTAATGTGTCTTAAGTTTCAGAGAAGAAGTCAGAGGCAGTCATGAAGCCAACTCATGCCATACTTATGTAGCAAGATGTTTCCCTCCTAAAGTTTTAAACTGCTAATTTTCATGAATCTGCAACATTTCACTGAGAGGACGAACAG